ACTTAAAAATAATTTTAATAGTTACAATCAGTCAGGAAATTTCATTTAATTTTCTTGGAAACATATGATTTCCGTTAAATAATATTAGTTTTCACAAATCGTTAATAAGTTTGTTTAACTATCCATTGCTTTCTATTTTAGACATTGTTTTTTCTAAGAATCTCTGCTTTAAAACGATAAATTATATGTATACCTTCTAACTATTATTTTCGTAGATTCATTTTCGATCTAAATAAACATTTTTCTTTATTCCTGCATTATTCAATTATCAAATTCTTTTAAGAGATATATTAAGCATTTTTTCGTAACTCTTAACAATAACCGATAGTTCATTTTCTAAAATAAGCCAAATTAAAGTTATTTTAGAGGAAGAGACATTGAACATTGGGCATTTAAGTCCTTTAAGTTGACATCGATGTGGATAAAACCTTGCTGATATTAAACAGCACTTAATGATATACTGATATACCCAGTTTATTCAAAATCGTTTAGACTGTTTTCGAGAAAATCGTGTTAGATATATTGAATCGATGATATAAAGTACCATTTCCGGTTTGATGATTTTGACAAATAAATTACTGTAATACCCCAGCCGTATAAAAAAAAACATAAATGTGCAATTGCAGTTTCGTTTCGACTTTACGTTACTGAGCTAATATTAACATACACACAGAAACACAGACCATTTTGTGAGACCTGGTTATTTGGACTCAGATGACCTCCAAACGTATATTTCCATTGAAAAGTCAGATTCGAAAATTTTCACGAACTCAATACTTTTCCTTCCTATACATAATAAGTGAAAGTAAAAATATGGATTTTGCCTATGGTTGAATATTTTTACTTCAATTTTAACAATAAAAATCTAAAAATGTCCAACCTTTCTATGTTTGAGTTTGTAAATAAAAAAAAAATAAAAAATGAATTTTGTACTTTTGAGTTAATTATTAATATATACCACAGTTGAGGAACCTGCGGCCTCGAGGCTGCATTTGGCCTCCATGAGCTGCAGCTCCGGCCTCCAAACGTTTTTGCGCGGTGTACTAGCGCTGGAATTAATTAGTATTTAATTATTTAGGTTAAGAAAATATAAAAATTTCTGGAATGAAGTTACGCATATGTATGTGGTTCTGTATTTACTTATTAGAAATAGCAATAGTAAAATATAAAAAAAAATATTGTGGTCTCCATTATGACTTCTTAATATTAATGTGACCTCTAATGATAAAAAAGGCTCCCCACCTATTATATATGCACTTATATATTCTTAAAAATAAATAAAACCTCTTGAATATTTATTCTGTTTTAGGAGCTATCTACGATGCACAAATATTTTATAGTTCTCTGGTTTTTAATTATGTTATAATTACTGTTGTATGTTACACAATCCACAAATTTGCTGTATATTACATAAAATTCTCTATAATAATGTAAATTACAATATTTATATATAATCCTTACCTGATGAATAGCTGTTCTAGCCATGGCTGACTGTTTCTAAATGACAATGGCTAATAGTCTTAATTAAAATATAGATAGTCCCTTCTACGTCACATCCCCTCCTTGCGAAATAGATAGTTTGTTCGAAACTAGAAAGAATTCAGGGAAATTGTATATCTTCATATATATTTGTGTTTTTAAATAAATAAAAAAATTATCATCATCATATTAGTTAGCAAAATAAAGTTGAGTAGCCTTTTTTCATAATAGTTGATTGATGGTTGACTGTAGCGAATAATTGAAGAGATGAATGGTTGATGGATCAGTCAAAAAAAAAAAAAAAAAGGAAAAATAAATAATTAATAAAAAGTATAATTTCTAATACATAGTATATTAATTATTAATTGATAGCAATAAATTATTAATTAAATAAAAATGAATATAATTATCTATTTATTAATTATTTTTACTATTTTTTTTCACTGGTCACCCCAACCATTCTTCTTTTCAATTTATCCTTTTTCCTTATATCTAAACAATTCTGGTATGTAGCAGTAGGATTATAAGGTTGATTCAAAACTATCCATAGTATTGTATGTTTACATGTTGAAGTACGAATTTTAAAGATTTTTTTTTCTCTTTTGCTGGCCTATAAACCCTAAAGGGTCAATGGCGTTTTCTATAATTTATATTCTATTATAGTATTTTTTTTTTTTAATTTAAACTCAATAGAGACTCTCTCTTCATTATTTTGCAGAATTATCTTTTAGTGTTTTTCCTAGATCTATTTTTTTTTCTCTGGGGCTTTCGAATTGGCGACATTCTACCAGAAAATGTTTCACAGTTTAAGATGTATTATTGCATTTTTCTCAAGTTGGAGCTTCTAGACCTCTTAAAAGATAGCTATGTGTGAACTGGCAGTGCCCAATCCTAAGGCGGCACAGTATAATTTCTTCACGCCTGGAACTTCTGGTGATAGTGAGCCATTTGTCACAACTAGATTTCACTTCTCTCAGTTTACACTCTTTGATTTTCCAATCTTTTTACCACTCTGTCAGTTGTTTTTTAATTGTTTTGTATACCCAGTCTTCTAGAGTGATATATTCCAATCTAGTCACTGCCTCTTCTTCTCCTCTACTTCTTGTTAAATGGGCTGCATGATCAGCTTTTTCATTTACTAAAATTCCGCAATGAGCTGATACCCATACCGAGACAACTGATATTCCTTCATTTTTTACCTTCCATCATATGTTAAGCATTTCTTTAATTATTGAGTTTCTAGTATATGGGTTATCGATGGCAATTAAAATACTGCATGGGTCCGTCACAAATACCTAGTAGTTCTTTTTAGATTCGCTTATAGGATATGAAGCATTCATGATGGCAGTGGCCTCTCCTGTGAATACGGAACATTCTCCAGATATTTTAAATATTAGGTGGTTCTCTTTACTCGCTAAAGCACATCCTACACTATCTCCTTCATTGGATGCATCCGTATGTATATACAATACACATTTTTATATTGTTCTGTCAGTTTTATAAATGATTTTTGTATTTCAACCCGACATGTTTTTGCAATTTTATTCATGGATTTATTAATCAAGGGTCTGTCTTTTTTCCAAGGCGGCATTTTTAATTCTGGGATGGCTCTTATAATGCCCGTATCCATGTTTATTTTAGTTATTGCCTTGTAAATTACTTATTTAAAAATGTTATTTTCTATATCTTTAAGTCTAAAGATTTAAAAGATATAAGTTTTTAGGTTTTATATTTATTATTTTTACAGTGCTATCGTTTCTTATTTTGAAATCACAAGAAAATATAACACTGTTTCTTTTAGGAAAATAATACGATAAAAGTACATTCTTGACTTTTAATAAAAGTCTTAAAATGTGTTAAATAAAAAAAAAATGTAGCTTATATTTAATAAAATTTCCGTAAAGTAATTTACTAAAATGATTTAATAAGGTAATTGCAACAGTATTTTAATGTAACCCTTCAAATACACTTATAGTTAAATGTTTAGCACACTAAAATATTGGGTGGTTGTTATTCTGGTCGCAAAACAATGAGGTCATCAGCACCCGATCAACAAAATAATGCTACACTTTTAAACTATTTAACAGATAGGCTTCAAAAAAGAAAGAAAAATAATAATAAAACGAAATAAATAAACACTTAAAAACATAAATATAAAATATTTAAAAAAAGAAATAAAATAAGGATCGCCAGAGGATCATTAGTTTTGTTTGTTTGTTTATGTTTAGTGACCTAAAACATCAGTGGTCATCACCTTATTTTTTCTTTTTGATTTATTTTCTCATATATATGTTAATATTTACAACAGACGCACACTCACGCGCACACACTCTCACGCACAAAAACACACACAATATAAATCCATACACTTATATACAAATTATGTTATTGTTTTTACCTTTATTTTTTTCGTAATCTACTGTCGGTTGTGTATTATATTTAAGATAATCATGTTATTAAGTTTTAGAAATAATTTTAATGACCAATTTTACTGTTTTATTATAATCTCTGAGAATTGTTTATAGTTCGGGTTTTAATCCAACGCTATTGAGCTTAGTGATAGAGAATGGACATTCCCTTAGAAATATAACTGGTGCTGTCATCACAGAATTACATTCGAATGAGGAATGAGTGAGTCAGTCAAGTGTGTCCTATTCTAAAGTCGAGTCAGTACGACGTCCTCTCTACGACATTTACAGCTGGAGGTAGCTCAGAGCTTCACTTCCTTTTTTATAATTTTTACCTTACTCGAAGGTAAGGTATAAAACCACGGTCAACCAACGCTGATTTTCACCAAATTTATCAAAAACCGAGACAAATTATTATAAATGGCCCTGCAATTCGGGAATGACTTCTTTAGGAGGGAAAATCCATGAAGTCAAAGTTGTAGAGCATCAAATTTTGCGTCAAGTGAGTACCAACTAATTTAATGTAGGTCACTTACTTAAAAAAAAAATCGGTAATCTCCCGATGGTTCGAAATTGGTAATGAAGAAAAACGTGATTTTCAATATTTAAACAGTATGGGTGCCTATTCTATCGAGTTATTTTGGTTTAGAGTCTGTTACATGCAGTATAAGCCTCTTTTCCATCTCTCAACAGCAAAGGATTTCGATATACGATGTGTCGAAAGGTACCGAATTTTATAAAGAAAGAACAAATCCTGATTCAAGACATTTAATTGGGCTACAATGTCAGTGCTCAGTGGACGCAAAACTTGATTAGGCCACTTATTTCCAAGTTTTAGGGCCATTTATAGTAATTTGTCTTAGTGTGCCTAAAGAAAGTCTCCTAATTCCAGCATCGATCCAATGCTGTTGTAAAAGAATAAATAATTATCTGATACAGTCCTACAGTAACCATGGATCTTGAGCATTGCAAGTCAGCTACATTATACAAGGATAAGTAACGATAAATATGTTTTTACCATTATATTAAATATACTTTGAGGATGAGTGATACTAGGTAATTAAGTAAATTATTTTTTTTTATTCTTTAATTGCAGATATATTTCGTAATCTGATAATACATAAAATGTTTTAATAAGATTAAAAATTATATGTATGAAATGATTCGTGACGTACTGCTCAAGCAGGACAGCTTATCTCCCAGGGATGATCGACGAAGTATACGTGGAGTGAGTAGAGGCCGTACATCTGCACCCAGGTGTCTAAGCAGGTAGGTCTGTTGGCGAGGATAGCCTGTGGATCAAGATGGCAAAATGGAAATTGTATTTTGTTATTAAATATGCTGTAATAACCATTAGAATTGTTTACCATTATTGTAATTCATTATATCCATGATGTAAATATGGGTATAATAAATCCATGGTCCATAGACCATAAGGTATAAAACAATTCCAATATTAAACTTTATAAAACACAGAGTGTATTTAAGGTTTGATTGGGAAGTTACAAAAACTTTGACACCGGCTAACCGGAAGTGCCACTTTATATCATCGATTTTATACATTTTTACAAATTTTTCGAAAACGGATCTATCGATTTTGAATAAATCCCTTACATCTGTTTAAAAATAAGCAGTTTTTAATAAAATGTAGGTCTTATTCTTATTTATGGTCTCAAATCGAGCCGAAATGTCTAATTTTTAAGATTTGTATTAAATAAATTAGGGGCTTTAATATTATTACTAGTGCATGTATGTGCGGTTTTCATGAGTATTACAATTTATTTTATTTAATTGTATTAATTACATAAATATAAATTTAAATTTGTATTAGTGCAAATGCTAAAATAAAACACAATGAAATATAAACAAATATATCGGCCTTCTTTATCATTGGTTCTCTTTCGGACTAAAAATATGTCGTGACAAATAATTATTAATCGTAAATGGAAATGGTTTGTGACAAAAATATCATAAATATAATACATTAGACTATTGTGAAAACATATGGTGATTATTGTGTATAATGGTAATTGATTGTTGTAAATAATATTTTGTACCATCTATAATTATTTCTTTCACTTAGCTTTGTCTGAAAATACATATTTCTGTTAAAATAAGGTATAAAGTGAAAGTTGTGTGATACACTCACTGAGCCAAGTTTTTAAATTTTAAAATGAAATTCAAGAAGCGATCTGACAATATATGTATTAAAATATGTCTTAAAAATGATGGGTCTTTTATGTTAGTATTATATTTAGATTTTGTTTCTTAACTATATTTATTTTATTGTATATTTATATTTATTTATATTATATTATATTTTATTGTGTGGAAGACTATAGTATTCAACAACCAAATTTTAGAAAAGTTCATTTAAATATACAAGTATTGTCGGTTTATTGTAAAAAGTCATTATGTAACATATTGCGCACATAGTTTTAATATATATATATATATATATATATATATATATATATATATATATATATATATATATATATATATATATATATTTCAAATTGAAGTATCGAAGATTGATTTCGTAAAGTATGTTTAACTCGAAAATTATAATTGAAACATAATTTTGTACCAATTGAATTGTTGTTTTAGCACTGAAGAGGATCCGATTATTCGTATAAGAAAAAAATCTAGTGCGCGGAACACACAGCTTTCACTTACTGCTCCATTTTGAATAGAAATTATTTTCAGGCGACGATTGGCTATTATAAATTTTTTGAAGTGCATTTTCAAGGAGGATTAAAGCAATAACAAAAGTCATATTTATTATATCAATGGTTGATTATGGATTGTACGATCCTTTGGCTATGGATTATAGAACTATTAGTTATTAAACTGTTATTTTCCATTGCAAAGTTTACTAAAATGGAAATACGAGATTATCATTGCTTGTCATAAATAGATCAAAATTTGTCACCCTAATCGTATGTTGATACTGTAGGGATATCATCATCATCATCATCATCTGTGGCACGACATCCCGTTACCGAGACTGGGCCTCCTCCAAGAGCCTAAGCCAGTTGGCTCTGTCTTCTGCTGCAGCTCTCCAGTTCCGTACACCAAGCAGGGTTCTCGCATCATAGGCCACGTTGTCCAACCATCTCGTCCTCGGCCTTCCTACCCGTCTTACGAGGTGCAGCTCCTCCATCATTATTTTCTTTGGTATTTGATCGGTGCTCATTCTGGCCACATGCCCTGCCCACCTTAGTCTGGCCAGTTTAATATACGTGACTACGTCGATGTCTGTATAGAGAGAACTGAGCTCCCTATTTTTTCTTTTCCTCCAGACATCACCCTCCTTTACTGGACCATAAATCCTTCTGAGGACTCCTCGCTCAAACACACTCAGCTTCATCTCATCGTTTTTAGTCATCGTCCAAGCCTCTGAGCCATATGTCAAAACAGGCCGAACAAGGGTCTTGTATATGATCAGCTTGGTCTTCTTTGAGAGGTACCTACTTCTTAAGTGTCGGCCAAGTCCAAAGACACATCTATTGGCAGCCGTGATCCTTCTTTGTATTTCTTGAGCCATGTCATTTTTGCTATTAATTTCAGACCCAAGGAATACAAAACTTTTCACTCTCTCAAACATAAAAGAACCTACCTCAAATGGAGAGTTCCGATCCACCTATCACAACGGGAAAATTCATCAAATTATTCTCTAATTTTTTAAAACTTTAAAAAAACGGAATAAACGGACGATAAATACCTAATTACTAAATCAGAAATATTGTTTTTAAACTATAGGTACATTTAAGGTATAAACATCTCCATGAAGTATATTTATATTTAACTTTTTCTTTCAAGTGCAATGAAATATTATTTTAAAAATGTCATTCATTGCCTTGATTCGATGGATTTTAAGTAATTTTTCAAACATGAAAAAAAAGGTTTATAGTTTTCATTTAGTAAGAAAATTTCATTAAATTTCCTTGGTATATGTGATTTAATTAATGTTAGTTTTTTCGTCACTCTCCGGTACCTTCTACAACTTTATTTATTAGATTTATTTTTCTAAAATTCTCTGCTTTCAAACGATATATTTTAGGTATACCTTCTGATTATTATTTCCGAAGATTCATTTTCGATCTGGATAAGCATTTTTCTTCTTTTCTCCTTTATTCATTTACCAAAAGTTATGTTTAGCCTTCCTTCATAACTTCTAACAATGAGGGATAGTTAATTATTTAAAATAAACCAAATTAAAGGTACTTTAGAGACAAATATTTTTAATATTGAGCATTTAAGCATCAACTCAAATATTGATCAAAATAATATATTGATATACCGAGTTTAATCAAAATCGTTTGAGCTGTTTATAAGAAAATCGTAAAAATCGATTATATAAAGTTGCACTTCACCATATTATATTTTTCGACGCTGCAACGCTTCAGTTTTTCAGGCCATCATCATCAAGCACTTTTTGGAGGCGATTAACAAATGATTGGTTAATCTTTTACTGCGTAACTAGAATACTACTATGGTATACAGATATTTAAAAAAAAAAATCTTTCGTGATCTAAAAATGCTAAATTACAACTAACAGTATACATAGTAGAGTCATGTCTAATTTTTAAATTTAATTAATATCTAATTAGTTTTACCTGGATTCCAGGCAGTGGCGGCCTCTCGTACCACACTCTTTGAGGACCATCAGAACCCCTTCCGAAATCAGCTATTCCAAATCCTACAAGACCTCCACCTTGGTAGAGAGGGTAGAATGGAAGCAACTGGTCACAGGGCACGTTGGATGCCATTCTGTAGAAGTAGTGTTGTCCTTTGTATACAACGTGTTTGATCAATGAAATTGGAACTTTTAATACTAAAAACATAATTAATAAATAAAATAGTGGCTAACCCATTCTTGGAAAACAGTTCTGCCTGTTAAAGCCCGAAATGTATGTCTGATCAGGAGATGGTTCATTCCTCTGGATTTGGACTAGGTCTCCATTGAGATAAACCCAGAGGCCTTCCACCGTTTCGTTAAGTGTTTGACGACCAGCAGAAGTTAATGTGGCTGAAATAATATTATTTTGAAAATAACGTTAGTTTTTAATAATATACTGTTTACTTAACCTGACAATGGTTTATGTGAAGTATACTCACTTGGGTTGGTGAAATATGCCCTGAATCCGTAGCCAGGTTGGTTCATGATGTTTGTCGGAACGAATCCTCCAACAGCTGAGTAGTTGTATGGGACAGGATTGATGTCAGCGACATCTTGTTCCAGGTACTGTAATTAGAAGAACTGATTATAATTTACCTGTATTTCAATGAGTTTACCTTCACTTTTCTACATAAGTTGTTCATATTTCATTCATAAACATTGATGCTACCTGAGGCAACAATACTTACAGTGATCTGTACTCCAACCACGACTCCATTCATGTCATAGTACCAACACACTCTCGGATCATCTGGATAACAGTATTGGGTTACTGGAAGTCCGACATTACTATCTGGCTGTACTTGAACGTAGTTGCTAATTAGTGGGCTGTTTGTAGTGAGTGGGATCTCGTAGAATCCTTGGCTAGGGTCAACAGCAAATCGTGCTAAAAATTAATGTCGGTTTATAAATATGCATGTAAACGTGAAAATGTGTGTTATAGTAAATTAATACTGCCTCCATGAGAGTAGATCATACATGTATATTAATGGAAAATAGGAAAACATTATCGTTTCAATTGTAATGATAATAACAATATAATTCTTATACATATGATAGCAAACCTCAACTTGTACTAAAAAGTTCATATAAACACTTAGCCAATATCCAGCAGAAAAGTAGAAAATTCAAGTTTTGTGTTTTTTCAATCAAGTCAAGATATTTTTTGAACGGGAATCAATAACTAAATAAATATTAAATTTAAGTGATAAACGATTGCTTCACTGTAAACTAGACAACATTTACTTCAATTTTTTTTTTTTTAAACTTTTATTATGATATTTACAACTGTATTAGTATGAATAGATCTAGTAAATTTGTACAGAGAAATATTATTACATGAAACACGCTTGTTGAGAAACTACCCACTGGTAGCACTCTAATAATTTGTCTACATGAGAAGATCACGAGGCCATCTTCTTTTCAGACGCCTCGGAAGGTTATCAGGAATCGAAGAGGAAGCAAGGTTAGAAACAAGAGGATTCGGATGGTTATTACTTCAAATAAAGACAGAATTTGCCATTGTTAAAACCATTTAAAGATGAGGAAGTTTTCTTAAAAGTGTAGTTAACTGTGTATTATAGGTAGATAATGATAAAATCATTAATTTCAATTTTTCTTCTTTTATAAATAAAAAGTGTATTTAAGTAATTATGTTTATAGCTACAATACATCCTTGATCATAAAAAAACTGGAATTTAGATGACTAGATAAAAATAGCATAATTTTTCCAAACTACTTGAGATGAATCTCAAGTTTTTGCCTAATAAACCTCAATCTAATTAATATGAACTTTTTTTTAAATTTATTTATTTAGAAATATAATAATCTGTCACGTGGACAATAATTATAGTGATATATGACCATACACAGAAAATAACATGAACATAAATCTTATTAAACGAGGAAGTTTTTCGAAGATTGGGGTATCTGAGGTATGATAATGAATGATCTCTCCTATAAAAATTTTCTCTACTTACGGAACAATCTATATATATTTTTACTGTTCGCAATTTATATACTTGTTAATTTTTATTAATTTAGTTTTTACCCACTTAAGTTTTATATATATATATCTTTATCAAAACTTTTATCATATCATAGCAATATCCGAAACCTGGCTCAAACCTTATATTCCATCATCTTCAGTCTCCTTGCCTAATTACATCCTGCTCCGTCATGACCGGGTAAACCGGACTGGCGGTGGAGTAGCCATGTTTGTCCACAATAGCCTAAAGACCCGAATCCTCGATTGCTCCCCATCTTCCGATCATCCTCATGTAGAATACCTCTTAGTAGAAATTCTCAGTAATATTTCTCCTATCCTTTACGCCGTGGTATATCGCCCTCCTCTCGTGCCATTTGACCCGTCCTTCGAATCAACTCTATTCAACTTCGTTCCCCTCTATCCCAGAATAATTATCTCCGGTGACCTCAATACCAATTTCCTCTCAAACTCCAATGACAAATCCTATTTAGAAAATCTGTTTTTCTCACTTCACCTATTCATCGTTCCTTTTTCCTCCACCCACCACACCTCCAGATCTGACACTTGGCTAGACTACTACATCATCGACTCAGCACAAAACCTCCTCTCCGCCTCTCAATTGCCAGTATCCTTTCTTTCATCTCATGATCTGATACAAATAACGTATAATATCCGCACTCCTCCAATCCATCCTCGAACTATCACTTTCCGCCAACTGGATACCCTTACTCGAGAAAAAATATTACCTGATCTAGTAACATTGGATTTGAATGAAATATATCATTGCTCCTCTGTCGACACCATGGTTGATATTCTCACCACCAATCTTCTCAATATACTTAATACCCACGCTCCTCTGAAAACCTCCACTTTCCGTCATCGTCCTGCTCCTTGGATGTGTCAGGAAATTAAGGATCTGCAGAAGAGACGCGACGCTGCACGCAGACGCTTCAGACGGACTAGGCTTGCAGATGATTATCAAATATTCAGAGTGCTTCGTAACACGACACAGACAAGGATCCGACAAGCGAAAGCGAACTACTTTCACGAAGCCCTTTCCTCAGCTCCTGATATCAAATCAAAATGGCTTCTACTTCGTAAGCTTTCCCTCTGTGAACCTTCTAGATCCCCTTCCTCAGTTTTCCCAATATCACCTGATGACCTAAACTCCCACTTTATATCGGTTTCCACCTCTTCTTTACCATCCCCTTCCGGCTTTTCTCCAGAGGTACCTTTTAACGACAATAATTTTTATTTTTCCGACATTTCTCCCACAGACCTTATTACCGTTATAATGAAATCCCGTTCCAATTCCGTAGGCCCAGATGGCATTCCTATCAAACTAATAAAATTATGTCTCCCTGAAATCCTCCCAGCACTCCTTTTCATCTACAATTTCTCCCTGCAGAATTCAATATTCCCGACCTCTTGGAAAAAAGCCATTGTCCTTCCTTTAAACAAAAAGCCTAATCCATCCTCTCCCGAAGATTTCCGCCCAATATCAATCCTTTCCAATCTTTCTAAACCCCTAGAAAAGTTAGTACAATCCCAAGTTTCCAACTACCTTGAACAATCCAACCAACTCGATCCTCTCCAATCTGGCTTCCGTCCTGGCTACTCTACACAATCTGCTCTGATTAAAATTACTAGTGATATCCAGACTGCAATAGATGACAAAAAACTAACCATACTTATACTGCTTGATTTCTCCAAAGCTTTCGATTCCATTATCCATTCCATCCTTTTCAACAAACTAAAATCATTATCCTTCTCCAATAGTTCCATCTCTTGGTTCCAGTCTTTCCTCTCACAACGAACCCAAGCAGTTTCCATACCTAATCAACCTCTATCTGCCTACCTTCCTTTATCCTCAGGAGTTGCACAGGGTTCAAGCATGTCTCCTCTTCTTTTCAATTCTTATATTAATGACCTAAATGATTCAATTATCCATTGTTCCCACCACCTTTATGCCGACGATTCTCAAATCTATTTATCCTTTTCTCCCGCTGAGTTATTGGTGGCATTTGCCAAAATTCAAGAAGATTTAGATCGAATTAGTGCCTGGGCCAACTTAAATGGATTAAGGCTAAATGCTGCCAAAACTCAGGCCATTCTCATTGGTTCCAAGCCCCTTCTTAGATCCCACACCAACTTTCCCTCACTCTATCTAAACAACCACCCCATCACCTTCTATCCCTTTGTTAAAAATTTAGGCTTTCTCATAGATCAAACCCTTTCCTGGAATCACCATATCTCTCATATATCCCGCCGTGCAATTTCTACCCTCAAACTATTCCATCACTTCCGCCATCTTCTACCCCAAAATACCCGTAGACTCATAGTTTCCTCTCTCATCTTTCCCCACTTTGACTACAGCTGTGTGGTGTACGATGGCCTCTCGGTGGAACTGCGTGATAGACTCAAAAGACTTATGAATTGCTTCGTAAGATTTGTAATTGGAACCCCGAGACGCTCCCGTGTCTCCCACCACTACACTGAGTTAGGGTGGCTCTTCCCCTCCTTAAGAAGACAATATTTCCTTGGCACTTTCCTTTATCAAATCATTACCGATCATCGTCCTTCTTATGCCTACAACCTTCTCCAATTTAAGTCCTCAATCCATTCTCTCACTACAAGATCCCGACCCTCTGACCTATACATCCCTTCTCATAGATCTGCCTCATTCCAAAATTCCTTTATAGCCCGCTCTGTCAACTTTTGGAATTCCCTCCCGATCAAAATTCGACATGCCCCTTCCCTGTATACATTCAAAAACCTCCTATTCCAATTCCTGTTCCAAAAACAGTCTGATACCAGCTAACTATTGATATTATATATGTATTGAGTAGCAATCATATAATCATAACACTTGGTAATAGATAGTACATGCATTTCCTACTATCGACGTAGGAATTTCAATACATACATTTTTTTTTATATATATTTTTTTTTATTCAATTATAAGTAACTGTTTATTTTTATATATATATTCAAGTAAAGTTTTTTTTTTTTTTTTTATGAAATGAACTCATTGTATCTCTTTTTCGTTCTTCATTTCTCAAAGTGTATGTTTATGTTGTTCAACCCTTAAATATAATTTTGTTCATAGTTCAAGTGATTCGTTCATAGTTTTAATTGTTTTGTTCATAATTTTAAATGCTCTGTGCATAGTTTTATCTGTTTGTATATAGCTTGTGCACCTAAGATTTTCTTTACTTTTTATTTTATTTTATCAATTTTATTTATTGTTTCAACGTTCAGGCCAGTAATATTCTATTATTTTGTACATTATTGTTATTCTGAAGGGACTTAGTCCCAGAATAAAGTTTTTTTTCTATCTATCTATCTATCTATCTATCTATCTATATCTGTATATTTTTATTCCTAAAGGATATTACGCAATAAACTGTATTACTTTCGCTTACCTATATATGTAACATATAGTAAATGAATGTATTGCGATCGTAAAAATTTTGGAATCTGAGTATTCAACGGAAATCCACGTTTTGAGGCCTCCTGGGTCCAAATAACTAAGTCCCGTAAAATGGTCTATGTGTATGAGAACAGTCCAGCTCAAAAACGAAAAGTCTTACTGATATTACATATTTAAGATAGGTATATGGTTTGGATGTCACAGCGACTTTTTCCTTGAAATCGGCTAACCGGAAGTGCCACTTTATATCAACGGTGAAATTTTTTTTTTATTCCATTACATTAAGTAATTATCTTTGTCCTTATATAATAATCAACAGCATTATAGAAAGTATACCCAATGCTTATAGCTTATTTTCAAGATTTTATTTGAAGCGATTAAGATTTTTGTAGTTAATTCGGCTAACTAGAATTTTAATTCTAGTTTCAAATTAGAAGATAGACAATTAAATAATTTTGTATAAGTT